ACGTACTTTTAACAGCACTAAAGGAAACCCCATTTTCACCACTTTCTCAAGTGAAACAAACATAACTTTGTACTAGGAAATAAGTTCTAGAACACCATCGCCACAGCCATAGAAACGATAACACATAAGATTCAAAGGGCTTGGTTTCTGTTTGTTGAAGCATGTTACCCCCTCCCACCACCGGAGTTTCGGCGCCAAACTTGACACATCAACGAGAAGCGGTTATTGGTTGGATGTGAAAGAGTAGTTTTTATAGCCCAGCCCATTTTTCACTTCGAGCCCTCGAAACACAACTGATTCAAAACAAATCTCAGTTTGAGTCTTGACAACAAAAAATTGTGCATATAAAATCATACTGAGTTATAACAACTGTAAATCCAACCAAAAACGATGCAACAAAACTGATACAAATCACACATCTTGAATCCAGACAACACAACTGACTTATATCAAACCACAATTAGTCTTGATAATAATAATAGAAAAATATTATGCAACTTAAACTATACTTAGTCCAGACAACACAACTGACTTATATCAAACCACAATTAGTCTTGATAATGATAATAAAAGAAATACTATGCAACTCAAACTATACTTAGTCCAGACAACACAACTGACTTATATCAAACCAAACTGAGTCCCGACAACACAACCAGTGTATATCAACACAAATAAGCCCTTAAAACATAATTAATTCAAATCAAACCACACTAAGACCTGGAACAAAAATAACACAAGTTACACCACAATTTGAATCCTAACAACACAACTTAATGTAAGCCAAACCATGCTGAATCCCGACAACACAACTAACCACTGATGTAAATGACAGTACTCTGCTCCCGACAACACTCCTTTCAATTCGATTTTTTTTTTTTTTTTATAAATAACAATTCTAAAGCGACATACATTTTCTTAAAGAAACTTTTGAACTGATAGATTAGAGGGAATACAGCTAATCAACAGAATCCGACATCAACTCGGGCTACTCTTGTCTGGCTCCATAATGGGATTTTACTTTTACTCTTATAGCACACCAATGGCCGCAGTATGTGATTTTCTGGCCACGGAACACGATTCACATACTCTCGTATTAACAGTTCGGGCACTCTGATAACAAGGCCACGCACGGCCTACAAAATAAAAAGTTAAACTCTCTGGAATTCTGCTACATCATCTAAATTCAATAAATTCGATTAATGTACTTCAACATTTTAATACATAACAAAAATCATCACATGACTGGTCCCAAAAAAAACAAAACATTTTGAACCTAGAAAGTTATTAATAACTATAAATCATTTACTTCAATGGATTAAATTAGACGTAACAAAACGACAACACATAAATTGCATACATTCATCTGAAACACACAGAACTTTCTTGAATTTGAATACTATATATAATATAATGCATCAATTTAATAAAAATATATTTATATCAGTCGACAAAATTACACTTATATACTCCAAACGACTTACGTCCAGTAAAGCACTCACTCTTAAATAGGTCAGACACCTTTAAGTCCGGTAAAGTACTCTACTTTAGATAGACCAGACCTATTTAAGTCCGGTAAAGTATTTTACTTTAAATAGACCAGTATTTAAAGTAGAGTACTTTACCGGACTTAAATAGGTCTGGTCTATTTAAAGTAGAATACTTTACCGGACTTAAATAGGTTTAAATAGGTCTGGTCGTCCGGTAAAGTATTCTAGTTTAAATAGACCAGACCTACTTAAATTCGGTAAAGTATTCTACTTTAAATAGACCAGACCTATTTAAGTCCGGTAAAGTACTCTACTTTAAATAGACCAGACCTATTTAAGTTCGGTAAAGTATTCTATTTTAAATAGACCAGACCTATTTAAGTTGGGTAAAGTATAATACTTTAAATAGATCAGACCTCTTAAGTCCGAGAAAGTAGTTACTCTTAAATATGTGTGCCCCCCAGTGGCACAGCGGTATGTCTGCGGACTTACAACGCTAGGAACCGGGTTTCAATACCGATAGTTGACAGAGCACAGATAGCCCCGTGTGTAGCTTTGTGTTTAACTACAAACAAACAAACTTAAATATGTGAAAGTTTAAATCAAGTGTAATATTGTCAAATACATCACATAAGATCTATCATAAACTATTAATCAGATACGTGGCACTTTATATCACTATTTATATCACTCGTTTACAATCAAAGGACCGAGAGTGGTCTGGTAGTTTGAAGCCCTTAATGTGAATCCGAGAATCCAGTAAAAACGTGTTCCGCACTTTGGGCAGTACGAATGCTATAAGACTGACAATCAGCTTTCACTATCTGGTCAGTTAAAAGTAGCCAAGAGTTGGCTGTGAGTGTTGTTGACTAGCTGCTTTCATTACAGTCTATCAGTTCAAAGGTAGGAACGACTTTGTGTAACTTTGCGCAAAGATTCTGAAATAAACTTATGGTGTATAAAACCTAAGTTGACGAAGCGTTATTTCTTAATATGTAATAAGTGTAATGTGAAGTTTAATCACATTAACTGTGACAATAACTTCAATAGCACTGATGACATTTAAAATAAGACTGTATAAATCGTAACCCAGTCGGTCTGACAAGCTCTGATATTGAACGAAACACCACGTTGCAGCGTTGTATACAACAAAGTGTAGTAGAAATGCTTTGATACATTCTTCTTTCTGGAAAGTTGTTCGACCAAAAAGTAAACGATGTAATTAAAATTACTTACATTCTTATAATAAATAATACTAAACGTTTAATTTTAATGGGTTTCATAAGGATGGTGGAGTAAAGCTGAAATTTTAAAAACAAATAATTAATAAAATAATTATCAACCTTTTCTGAAAAATATTCAGACAATTTTCAAGAGAAACTAGTTTCTTCGAAACTGCACGTCATCAGATTAACTAAATACCCTAAATAATGACACATAATTATTAACTAAATACCCTAAATAATGACACATAATTATTAACTAACTACCCTAAATAATGACACATAATTATCAACTAAATACGTTAAATATTGACACATAATGATTAACTAAATACACTAAATAATGACACATAATTATTAACTAAATACCCTAAATAATGACACATAATT